CGGCCCCCGCCCGACGAGGCCGAGGCGGCCGCGGCCCCGGCCCCCGCCCCGGCCCCGTCCTGCTACTGCGGCTGCATCTGCAGCACCCCCTGTGCTGCTGCTGGAGGCCAAACGTTTGCTGTAACACACGCCGTACCCTTGGACAACGAGCGAGCACGTGGCTCCCGACAGCATCCCCAGGAAGATTTCCTGGGCAGGAAGTTTGGGTTTTGTAATTGTGCTCCATGATGCATTTCAATTATCTCACTGCGGGCAACACCTAGATCGGACCGTGCAACTGTTGCTTCGTTTCAGGAGTTTGTAGGGGCGTACTCCCGCAAACGAGTCGCATCCAAGTTGTGAAAAGTGGGAAAGCATTCTTGCATTTGTATTTTGTCTTCTCTGAAGGGGACCGTACATTTTTCAAATATTAAAATTTTATTTAACGAAATCTGTTCACAAAACAGGAGATCATAAGGCTTCAAGAAGTTAAAGTATAGCAGTCCATCTCTCTGAAGTGCTGAGAAATTATTAACCACTCTTCTTTTCCTCTCCACACCAGAGCAGGAGCTGTTACGCCCAAAAGCACACCTATTTCTCCTTCCAACTACAACAGATGGTTTCCTTGCAAACCTTCCTTCTTTCCGGGTTCAGAAACGCTTGGACTACGTGACTCGCACAACAAAGGGTTAATTGAACTATTTGTACCCTCCTGGCACATCCTCTCAAGAAATTTGGAGCGTAACAGCTGTACTGACTTGTAAACAAGTGGCAGTTCACATGGGCCAGGTCCGGCTCGCAACCAGGAGCTACCCCTCCCCGGTCTACAGGTCTGAGGATCAAAAATAAATTGCATGCCTTAAATACCAGCTCACCAGCTAGTTTAGGGTCATTCCCATGTAGTAATGGGATCCATCCAAATGCAGACCCAAAGCCTGAGGCTTGGGCTACTCTCACGTTCTCTAATGAGAACTCAGATGCCACCCCTGCCAGGGTGACCTAACAAAGGAGTGCACAGTGAGCGCTGGCAGTGCCCAGGGCCCTCCCCGCAGGGGCGTACCCCCTCCCCGCAGCCGGGTATCCCCCCCGCAGCCGGGTCCGCTCCCCCAATGCAGCCGGGTCCGGCCCAGCCTGTCTGTGACAGGTGATGGAGGGCGATGGAGCCGGGGTCAGGGCAGCGTTCCCTCGCGTGGTGGCACGTTTCCCCTCCTGCTCCGTTCGAGTCCGTCAGAAGCAAACACAGAGTCTGACCTCACTGACGTATCACTGACTGGTGCTACCAAAGGGTGCAGGGCCCTCGATACGTGCAGGGCTGCTTAAAACAAGGATCCTCATGAAGCATGTAATTAAAACCAATCTTTAGTGGGGCAAACAGGCCACCCCAACGAAGAGCGGTGTCTGTCGTTTAGCAATAGGTCGCTTGCAAACTGCTCAGGTCCCTCGGGGAAAACAACAGATGTCCCTCCCTCAGCCGATACACAAACACACACATCCCCACCTCCCCTTCCAAAAATATGTATGGAAAATTAAGTGGTTAATAATAAGCAGAATTTCAGATACAGTCTGCCTGACTGTGAACTCGCATTTTGTGAGTTCAGTATGATCAAACAAGAAATAGGCAAAATGCATTAAGAAGTGGCTGGTGCAAAGAATGATCAATACCAGAGACAAAAGATTACATCTGGGAAAAACAGAGCAAACTCTCAAGCGTGAACCCTAGCAAAACCCAAACCTCACTACATAACGCCATGCATGTAATAGTTCAACTTTATAACAAAATTATATTTCCTCAAAATCCAGAGAGTGGGATGAATAAAGCAGTAATCATCCAGATTACCTGGGATTCCCCCCCCCCCCCAGACAGGATAAATTCTGCCCCCGCAGGAAAATAATTCACACCCTCCGTGGCAAAGCTGTTCAGCCGTAGCTGGCTGCGCTCGGGTCCCCCACCGCGCACCCGCCGTCCCTAGAGCCGCACCAGCCCGGACAGACGGCGTCCCTCCGCGGAGAGCTTACGCCGTAAATCTCGGCACCATTAGCCCACGACAAAACCTGTAACGCTGCTGCGCATTTGGAAAGCGGCGCTGAGGGGCGCCGCTGGCCCCTCGCTGCCTTTTATTCCAAACGTGCACCCAACAGGTTGTGCCTCTCGTTTTTCTCCAAGTTCTCCTCTCCAGGAGCAAGGGGCTTACGCTGCGCGTTTCGAAGCTTCCCTAAGAGAGCCGCTCTCGCCTGCTGAAGCAGGTTATGGGTAGTTTCACGCTTTTTAGAGCGGAAACTTCAGCGCTGCGCGTCGCCGCCCTGCACTCGCCTTGCTCCCCAGCAGCGGAGGGCGCAGCGCCTCGCGGCTCCGGGCAGCGGGCGCAGGCGGGTGCGCGGGCAGGGCCGCCCACGGCGCCGTCCCAAAGCCCCAGTCGCGGGGTGACCAACCTCGCCGCGGGGCCCCGCATCCCCTCGGTGCAAATCCCCCTCCGGGGCCGGCCGCAGAGGGGCGGACAGACGCCGCCGCCCACCCCCTCTCGCAAACTTTCGGCCGCGGGACGGCGGCGGGCGGGGGCGGGCGCTCCCGGGGACGGGGACGGCGCAACGGGCGGGCGAAGCTGGGACCGGCAGCGCGCGCCAGGG